AGTGTTTTTCCCCATAGTTCTCCTTGGGGTAACGGGAGGACACAAACTAGCGTCCTCCCGTTACCCTAAGCTCAGTATACCGCGAGCTACAGCTCGCGGTATACTGAGACGCCGCACCTGGAGCGGATCCCGACTTAGATGACGGGATCCGCCCAGCTGCGTGAGTGACAGCTGGCTCTGCCTATCTAGAGGCAGAGCCAGCTGTACCTGCCCCCTCCCCCGTCCGTTCCGCCAGTCAGCGCTGGCAGATCGGAGCGGGGAGAGGGGAATCCAGCCCCTCCCCCTGTCACGGCAGAGAGCCGTGACAGGATCGAGAGGTGAGGGAACCCGGTATGTGTTCGCTCACCTCCCGATCTACTGAGCCGACCTGTGACAGTCTCATTGTCACAGGTCGGCTTAGAACTATGAGGTGAGTGGAAATCACTCATCTCATAGTTCCCCTTTAATAGGTAAGAATCCTTATTACATTCCGCTCCTTTTATCCAAGCACAAATGCTATCACATGGCAAGTACAAAACAAAGTCTTATTTCCAGTAGGACCAGTTTTTCACCTCTATGTATCTCACATGTTATGCTTTTTGTGTATTGTATTATTTTTTTTCTTCTTCTATGCAGGATTGAAGAGAGAGAGAGAGAGAGAGAGAGAGAGAGAGAGAGAGAGAGAGAGAGAAAATCAGTGTTCAAGGAAACACCTGCGACCAGTACTTGAGCCAAAGAATTCTATGCATCTGTACAGAAAGAAGTCCAAACTTCAACAGCTGGCACAGCATGTCAGCCGACCCATCCATCCAAAAGTGTAGTGCTCCCATAGTGGTAACAGCTACGGAGGGCTCAGAAGTTCCACGTCTGGATGAAATGGATGGCGTGTGATTATAGCTCTATTCTGACAGATGGCTATCTGACATACTTCCATCTAAGTCACCACCAGCTGTAAGGTAGGGCCAATAAAGGCAAAGGAAGCCTTAAATGTTTTCCAGGCACGTATCCACAGGGTCTTTGAAGGCTGGGACATCCTCTACAGGAATGTGAGATATTTGTTCAGGCAAGAGATTGCCCATCTACCTTCAGTACAGATCACTTCTTGAGGAAGGATTCCTCTAAGGGGTATCGCTGTCCAAATCTTTTCAGGGGTGCACATTTGTTGCCAATCCATGAAAAAGTACATCCTTGGACTAAGAAGTGTGTGGTGAAAGGCCTTAACGAGCCTCTGTTTTTTAAGGGAACCCATACTGGGGACTTAGGGAAGATCCTGCACAGCTGGTGGCAATGCTAGGTCACCATTGTCTTTTGGGACAAGACCAGAGGACCTGCTGTCCCAGAGAGAAGAGGTCTGAATCTGTTGAGGTACTCACCCCTACTACTACTACACCCCCTCCTCCTCATCATCATCCAGCATAAAAGCAGTAGTCATGGCTGTGTGCGAGATTAACTCAGATGTAAATGAATGGGGGGGGGCATTGAATAAGGTGGTTAACAGATGCCTAAACACTGCCATAGTAGCCACCAAGCCTTCCCCTCTGAGGCACATGGTACCCTGGATGGGAATACTGGGGCAATAGAGGAGAGCAGCGAGCCTAGCGGTGGACCATCAGACAAACCTTCAGGTACAGATTTCCCAGGGGGAGTGTTAGTAAGTTCCCTTTGCCCTTTAGCCGTTGTGAAGGTAGCTACCCCAGTACCCTTCCGTTTTTCTTTATTTCAATAGTGCGGAGCCCTGCATGGGTACTCACAGACCAGAATCAAGGGTTAAAGGAGGGTCCCTATGTGGTTGCACTGGTCCTTGCACCAAGAAACACACTCTTCTCACAGATGGAAAGTGGATTCCAAACCCTGCCTGTCAGCTACTGCACATCTCAGCACATGTGCCCCTTTCCAAGACAGTTGCCGACATGCAGGGTGTCCCAATATGGCTGCCTCTAGCTGTATTGCACAGGCAACTGAGGTGTACCAAGGTGGCCTTACCTCCTCTACTGAGCATGTTGGTTAAGGACCCCGTAAGGCCATAGGTGTCCACTGTAATTACCCACGTGACCGCTGATGGATTTTTGGGCTGCACTTTTTGCACAGACCATGCAGGGAGTGAAACATTATTATTATACAGGATTTATATAGCACCAACAGTTTGCGCACTTTACAATATAAAGGAAGACATTACAATCACAATACAATTCAGGACAAGATGGTAAGGAGGGCCCTGCGGGCTTACAATCTAAAAGGGAGGGGCCAGTGATGCATGCGGAGGTAGCTGTGTAATGAATTGAGAACATGATGGTTCAGTGGTTGAGATGAGGTGAGATAGGCTTCCCTGAAGAGATGAGTCTTTAGGAATCGCCTAAAGGCAGTCAAGGTGGGAGATAGACAGTTTGGGCTAAAGAGTTCCAGAGGATGCGAGAGACTCTAGAGAAGTCCTGGAGGTGAGTATGGAAGGAGTTGACAAGGGAGCTGGAAAGCAGGAGGTCTTGGGATGAGCGTAGGGGACAGTTAGGGTGATATTTTGAGACAAGGTTGGAGATATAGCCGGGGACAGAGTTGTGGATGGCTTTATAAGTGATTGTTAATATTTTGAATTTTATCCTTTGGGCGAGTGGATGCCAGTGCAGGGATTGGCAGAGGGAGGGGTTGCAGACACTGAGCGGTTGGTAAGGTGGAGGAGTCTAGCAGCTGCATTCATGATAGGGGGGATAGCCTGTGTAGTGGAAAGCCAATGAGGAGGGAGTTGCAATAGTCAAGACGGGAAACATGTCTTGAAACACTGCGCAGCAATATCACTAGTCACAGCATTGAACCGGCGAGCACAACCCAAGGTATCCTGGGGAGGGTGAGGTTGAAATTCATCGACTCACCTACCAGATGCATTACACCCATCCACGAGGAAGTGAGGGGGAACCCTGCTCGCACATCATCTTCACTCACCTTCAGACAAAAATAACCCCTTTAGGGACAGGGTCATACATGTACAACACCCTGCAGCTAACCTAACGCGCTGCACCAGATGCCAAGGTGAGTGCCTAATGCAGGATTCCAGTTGCCACACAGCATTACAGGCTGCCAGGAGTCCGGGCAGTCCCCGAAGCTGCTGCCATGGGGTCCTAATCCAGAGGCTGAGCAGAAGCCACTGTTGCTGTATGCAACTAGAAGAAGATCGATGAGAAAAGAAAATGCAGAAGTGTAGAAATACTAAAACTACTACACGTCTCCCTCAGTAGGAGAGGAAACATCAATCACCTAAGGACACTAGCATAGATAGGAGTTATCCCTTTTTGCGATATAAACACCAGTGTTACCACAATTTACCTGCTTTACATGCGATGTCAGTTATTGGGAATGGCACCACAATGCATTGTACAGCAGAGCACACTGCACATACCATAATTTGTGGTGAAGGAGTGTGAACTTGACCTGAGGTGAGGAGGGGGTTACAGTAATGTACTACATGAGAAGAAACATGTTCATCATAATGTGTCCTTGGCGTACTCCTAAAGACTTGTTTTATTACATTAGTGTGTATTTTAGTTCATGTGTTTTTCTTCATAAATATTTGTAGGATACATTCTACAGTACCTTGGTGAATTCCATATACCGAAGGGTGAACATCATGCTGCCTGCAGGCAAAGTGTCATCAGATGTTCAGTTTTCCCCTACCCCTATGATAGGAACAGACTGACTAGGAATGACATTTTAAGGAAACAACAACATATAGTCCCATTATCTTTATTTTAATTAGAGAGTTTACATCAAAAATTGTCATATGGAGTGGAATCTAGTTAAATAATCTGTTTAAACTCCCAGTAATTTTAGGTGCCCAGTACCTGCAGGCACACATTCATTAGCCAATAACTCTGGACAATATATAAATTATATAGATCTATACATAGCTATCTATATAGCTATCTATATAGATCTATATCTATATAGATATATATAAATTCAGCTAATATCTGCCATTTCCAATTTCCTTAAAATATGTTGTCATGGGAGACACATGGCACCCACAAATATAATAATAATAAAAAAAAATACACACTGCATTTGCCCATCAATTTCCTTTGACAAAGGCCCAGAAAAATTCAGAATGAGAAAAACCTGCCTCGAACACTGATGACCTTTCCTTCTGAAAAAGCGAGTTGCTTTGCTGCCATGCTGACTTAAAGGAGAACTATGAGGTTAATGAAAATCATGTCCCTGCAGAGAGCCGTGACCGTCACTCACATCTCCCTGCAGGGATTCCCCTCCTCCCCTGTCCGATCCTCCAGCGCTGACTGGCAGAACGGACGGGGGCGGGTACAGTTGGCTCTGCCTCTAAAGAGGCAGAGCCAGCTGGGTGGATCCAGACAGTAATGTCGGGATCCGTCCCGGCTGCAGCGGTCTCGTATACTGAGCTTAGGGTAACCGGTGGACACAAACTAGCGTCCTCCCATGACCCAAAGGAGAACTATGGGGAAAAACACTTAGCCCATAGTTCTCCTTTAATACAGAGTAGGTGACCCTGAATGAGTATGATAGGGAATTCTATTTATTTTACTTTCTTCACCTACATACTTAAAGAAATGAAGCTAGTGGGTCAACATGCTAGTAAGGCAAGACATGCCTTCATCTCCGTCATGACAGGTTTACTTTAATTGAATCTCTCACCTGCACATTTAACGTCAGCTATTTTGCACACATGATCAATATGTGGTTATGGCACCAATGCCTTCACAAGTTATAAATCACTGGGATTCATTACATACAATTTCTGCCTCCACTGTGACTTGGACATATTGTTTTGATTAAACTAGTACAGCTAATCTGTATCCGATTTGAAAAACTTGAGTGATAAGCCTTTTAATGAAACATCTTTAAGGGCCCATTCACACTAATGCATCGCGGTAATGCTAAGTTTACCTCAACGCACAATAAATTGTGTGTTGCAAAGCCATTTATTAGGATTAGCACCCCAATGCACTTGTACATTAACTTTCAACCAAAACTGCTGCTGGCGTTAGTCATGAGTTAAGGTGCAACTACCAGCTCATTCACAATGAATGGGCATGCTCTAATGGAAGAAAATGCATTGGGTCAACGTAACACATTGCGTGAATGAGGAATTATTGCGTTGCATCTGCAGTTACTTGTTTGCTTGCAAAGCTTTACGTTGTCTACAGTATACTTATGTTGGCATTATAAATGCAAAATTCATATCCATTGTCTCTTCCACTGGGTGGGTATATTTCTGATCGTTTATTGTGGTTACAAAACAAAAAGGATTTAAAGGCCAAAATTAAATATTCCAACAGAGCAGCTTCCTTCCTCGGAGCACTTCTCCCTGCAGGCCATGCAGCCAACTGCATCTTGTCCCTTTGGTAACGGTTGCGTGATGCTGGAGCAGTACAGCTACAGTCTACACTTAGGCCACTGTGTCCATCAACTGCCAGGGTTCTGGAACTATCAGGACTGTACTGTTCCTTTAAGATACCACATACCTCCATAACAAACACAACAGTCCTAGAAAACAAATATATAAAATGCCATTAAAGAGGGTACATAAGTAACATCAGGAAAAAGTACCACTTTTTGCAAATGCTAAAGAACAACAGCACTTTCTGCGTCAATGTCCCTGCACATAAACACTAAATGGGACTTTGAACCTTATTTGAAGAGAGGTGCTTGTTCCCCTCACTGATGCCTGCAAGTCCCAACCTTTCAAAGTATTTGGCTGTGCTATAGCGGAATCTGAACAAGTGTGGTCCCTTAGATCACCAAAGGGCCATACATAATATTCAGTGCACATAATACTATAAAAAGCTGTCAGAGGCAGATGACCTGAAACAGGAGACGGTCAAAGACTAAACATTCTATAGGAGTTGTTAAAAAACTGGGCATGTGCTTCAGGAGACACATTACATAAGACTGCTAAAGATCATGGCTATCCCATCTCCTTTACTTATTGCAACCACATTTGTTGAGTCCCCTTAAAAATTACTTGTGACAGTTGGAAATTCACTCTGCAAAATTAATTATAAAAGATCAGATACAAAAACAAAACATAAAAGAGCAAGAATGTGCAAAATAAAGACCAATTGCCAGGCCCAAACTCTGGCTTATGACGGGTACAGGATCTGCCTAGGAGATACTTCAGTGATGCACTGGATCAATGGGCAGAACAATTATAATTGAGCCGTATAGAAACTTAATGATGTTTATACTCTGCTCAGGAACGGTTTGCTTTAAGGCTGATAGTACACTATGCTACGTGATTGTACAATATCCTTTGGGTCTACCATACTAACTGAAATGCTTGTTTAGATAGTCCTTGTACTACACAGGTTTGGTAACTAACAGGGGTTGTACAGACTGTAGAGTGTGCAACCATCCTAAGACAAACTAATTAGGTTATTGACATCAGGTTGGTCAGTGGTAGCAGTATATTAGTGACCAATGGGGGAGCCGTGTGTATTAACACATAATAGTTACCATGCATAGTAAACTGGTACCTCCTGCCCACCATACCTTTCTAGTGTTTGGCCTTATGCTGAATAATGGGCACTGTGACGCAGAATCTGACAGACTATTTTAAAACCTGCTCTAGTAAACTGGCAATACAGATGGTACTTTCCTTAGAACAGGGGTGGGCAACCATGGCACTCCAGCTGTGATGACATTTCAAGTCCCATGAGGCATTGCAAGACTGACAGCCATGGGCATGGCTTCCAGAGGCAGAGGCACACCTGATGGGATTTGTAGTGTCACCACAGCTGAATGGCTGAACTTTCCTAACCCTGTCTTATACATTTCAATAAATAAGGTCCATGTATGCATCATAGCTGAAATCTGGTCATTTATCTACTGCTCATATGTGCTGGTGACATCCTTTCTGAATAGCACTTGTGAGGCCAACTGGCAGCAAAAGGTTAAAACTATTCACCTTCTAATCACACATGGCTGAGCCTTTAAGCCAATTAAGGCAGTTTATTCATATTGTGCTTTTGACGGACTTAATTCCATTCACAACTCATACCTTCAGCACTTTGTCCAGCTGTTGCTTTGGGAGATCTTCTCCAAATTCCTGGCTCAGCCTTGTCTGGATCATATTCCTGCGCAAACGATGTCCTTTGGAGAAGAGCTCCAGCAGAGCTTGTCTTTCCTAAGGCACACAATAAGACTGTAAATATTCAATCTAGGAAGCTGTGGGTGCCAAGCAGATTACTGGAGCTCACAAAATAACCTTGAAACATACAGTAGATGCTGGGAGCAAATCCATCATGGGAAGGGTACAGTTATACCTTAACATAGAAAATACCCCCACATCCTTACTCATCTGTCTACATCTTGCTCTTTGCGGTAAGAGCAAAAACTTAAGTCATCCAGGTGTATTTTTTTCCCACGGGCATAGCGAACGAAAAAAAGTATAAAAATAGAACAGATTCCTCCATCAACGCTTAAAGTGACATTAAACCCTCAGATTTTTTAACATAAAACAATACTGTAATCCATGGTTGTTTCCCTTCTCTTTGCTGCTCTTCCTTTTAAATCTGTGTCTGTTCTCATGCTGGGCAGAACTTCTGGTTTGCAGCAGACTGCCTTGTCTCTGGAATGGATACATGGTGTCTGTGTGTAGGTTTGCAACCTAAGCCAGCACTACAGGAAGAGGCACTCAACTGCAAAGGGAAGTTCTCCCCAAGCATGAGAAGACATGAGGATTTAAAAGAGCAGCAAAGAGAAGGGAAACTACCATGCATTACAGTAAGGCACACATTACAGTATTGGTTTATGTTAAAAAATCTGAGGGTTTAATGTCACTTTAAGAGCGTTGATGGAAAAAAGCCCCCACTGTTTGCATTGCATTACAGAATACCTTCACACAGCTAGTAGCTGATTGGCTACAAGCTTTGCTCAGCAGAGAATTTTCCAACCGGCTCCTTCGACTAGCTGGTCAAGGGTGCCGACAGTGGCACCCACTGTGTGAGTTTCAGCCAGTTTGATGATTTGTACCGTGTGCATCTTACTTTAGTGTCCTAACAGAATCAGCAACACTGGGAGGTACAGTATTCTTAAAGACTGAAAATATCCAGCGTCTACCAACAATGTGGGCCTCAAATAATAGCATCCAAAAGTACTATCTTGTCCATAGCAACAAAAAATATTGGTTTTCTAAAATCTGTACGATTCATACATGTAAGATTTCCCACGCCTTTGTATCCATATTTTCATGATGACCACCTTCTGTGACAGGGGTTGGCATAAGCTTTAACCACTTGAAGACCAGGTGTTACACCCCCCTTCCTGGCCAGGCCATTTTTCAGTATTTAGCGCTGCGGTACTTTGACTGACGTTTACTCCGTCATGCAACGCTGTACTGAAATTAATTTTATACCATTGTTTGGGGACAGATAGAGCTTTCTTTTGGTGGTATTTAATCACCACTGCGGTTTTATTTTTTACTATATTTAGGAAAAATTACTGAAAACTTTGAAAAAAAAAAGTTTTGTTTACATTCTGTTAGGAAACAATTATTATTACCCAATTATTTTGGCCAAAAATTGACCAAAGGCGACGCTTTAACAGCTCATCAGTTTAGTGTTATCAGTGATTGATGGCCCTAAAATTATTGCCCTCACTGCAACGTTCGCTTGTATGTTAACAGGCATCGCTGCTGGTTTTTAAATGTTGTGTCTTTCCCGCTCACGCGCGCCCTAGTGGGCGGGTCTAACAGGCCGTGTACATCCAGGAAGCTCCTGGCCGGCCGTTTTTATACAACGGCCGGCCATGAAGCAGTTAAAGGTAACGTATTGGGAGAGTAAAATTTACTCTTCCCAATACTTAGAGGTGGTTCTGCAGCTGTCACATGCCGGCACTATAGAGCGAGAACGGATTAATCAAACTGCTGATCATTTAGCTTGTGATCCTCTCTCAGCAGAGAGCGGTGACTGTCACCAACACTCACTGGACAGACAGACAGACAGGGGAGGGGGCGGGCACAGCTTGCTCTGACTCTATAGAGGCAGAGCCAGCTGTCAACCAGGCAGCAGGGGTGGATCCTGACAATATTGGCGGGATTCTTTCCCGCCTGCAGCATGGCCCTGTGCTGTCAGTGTATAGCAGACAGTAGCCCGCTATATGCTGAGTTTCGGTCACAAAGGAGGACATTAATACTAGGGAGGCCCCGGGGGATGACAGGCTGCACATACTAAGGTAAGGTAACCTTACCTCACGAGGCCAGCTTCCGGTCAATCGCGAAACCGGGCAGCGTGTAATGACGTGCTGCCTGGCTTCCTGATACCGGAAGTACTCGTGCTAGGCATCGGAGCATTTGGGCGAGTACGAGTACTTGCCCAAATACTCGGAATCGGCACCGATATCGATACTAGTATATCGGTATCGGTGCATCCCTAGTAAGTACACTCCTGTGACTCAAAAAAAGGAGTAAAGCCAAAAAAGGTTTGTCTTTAGTTCTCTTAACAGTTGTAAGCGGATGGCAACCTTTTCCTAACAAAATAAAAACAAAGACGTGATTATCCATCATAAGATAATGTGCCATCTGTCTCACCTTGTCAGACTCATCTCCACTGGTCCACAGGGCAAACACCTTCTGTTCATCAGGGGCAGCAGTGCTCTGAGGAGGAAACTAACAAGACAGCTCTGTGAACATAGGATGAGGAGCGTTTCACAAATGCTTATGTCCTAAATCAGATACACCGTGTGCCGCAGTTCTTACAATTTTTCAAGTCCATGTTGTGCCTGCAACTACAAAACCTTTAAAGCTGAACTCCAAGATAAGCAAATGCTGTCTAAATACAAGAGTGATGTGTATTCTTACTGGGATCATGGTGAGCTTTGTGTATTTCTTCCTGGTCTGCGTAGTAAACTAGCGTGAAACATTGCCTTTGTGCAGGAGCTTCATATAGTAGACTGGTCACTACTGCCCTCTGTTGTTGTGCAGGGTGACTGGTCTCGTATCCGCCCCTTTCCTCTAGTTTTCTGCAGGCAGCATGTAGTGGGTGGAGCCAGCTGGGTCCTCCCACAGCTCTGCACAGGTTATGTACAGCATGTACAGCACAGTGATGTCACTGCTACATTTACAAGGCAATATCCACGTTTGCAAAGGAATTTGATGCAAACAAAATGGACCTACATATTCTTTGTGGCTAATGAGAAAGATATTAAAAAGTTAAAGATTTCTACGATACAACCCACACCCCCTTTTAAAAAAAAAAAATTTCTCTTTATCTTCCTTAACCCAGACTGCACCGCAGTCCTCTCTAACCTTATTCCCCTGTCCCTTCCCCTCTTTCTACTTTGCCTCTTTAAACCCTTGGCTAGCGCCGGTCTGTTCAATTGGACTGGCCCACGCACCTAAAGGATGGTGGATTATAACACCATCATAAACACTGTTTCCTATCAAACACTATTGCCCTACGAGCAGTCATGTTGAAGTGTACAGCAGACACCCTAGAAGATGCTGGTACCTATTTTTAAGAATACAACATGGTGCTCAAAGTAAATTACAGCCTAGTAACTGCCTTTACCAAAAAACTATTGCACTCCAAGGAACCCCATAGACGTAACATACATTGCCTGATCCAGCAGAGTTTAGCAATATTATGTGACCATCTCTTTTATGAGAGAATATGGAGCCTGCCATTGCTGCACTCCTCTTTTGAGAATGCCGTTTTCCTTTCTGTCCTGCTGATGCTTTGGCTTCAATGCTGTTTGGCAGCTGACATGGAACAGTTAAGAGATAAACTCACACCTTTCCTCCACTCCAGTACAACACAAAAAATGCCCGCACTCCAAACAATTTCAAAAGGCAGCAAATTGAATCCATGAAGTGCACAATGGGTCTCTCTGCCTAAGAACCCACCGGCTGACGCATTTCACCCAACACAGGCCTAATCATAGGATCTCTACAATTAAGCCTGTTGGGTGAAACATCAGGAGGTGGTCTCCCAGGCTGGGAAAGCTATTGTGCAATTCATGATTAAATTTCCCTTTGCTTAGGGGGGAGTGGCCATTTTTCTTCTTTGTTTGCTGTATATACATAGGGGAGGAACAAGCTCTCATCTACAGCCAGTGGGACTTTGGGAGCGGTGTCATCTTCATTTAATAATTAACAGCATGCTTGCTCCAGGTCTAACTCTGTACTTTAGTCAGTCACCACCAGGCATCTAGCATTTTCAAAATGTGGCCAGCAATTGGCAGCATCCATACTTCTCTCATGACAAGTCACTTGAATGTCTAAATATACCTTATAGACTGAGATGTCCAATATAAGAGAAGTGTAATTCAAAAGCAAGACAATCAGTAGTTTAGTTTAGAGCGCATCCCCAGGTCAGAGAACGCTATAACGAGTGTTCTATATATAAATGAGGGTAAAATCTCAGGAGTCAGTTGACCAGCGAGACCCAAAATACAATAAACACCCAACTGTTGGAGAATTTTCAGTTTCATTCAATGGAAACTTGTAGGCCAACTCCCGAGTTCTACATTTAACGTATATCTTCTGAAGTAGAAAGAGGATGCCTGAAGAGTTTGGAAGAGTCCGTTTATTACAACAAAGCAATTTTTAAACATGGAATGTGTAGAATCACTAATTGTCAGAAACCGAAGCTCTGCAGAAGAAAGCCACAGACACTTTTAAGACAGACACCCAAAACAGTGAATTTTACTTTGGAGGTAAATGTCTGCTGGGAAGTCAAACTTTTTTTTTTCTTAAACCCTAGGGCAAAACTCTACACAAGGCCTCAACTTCTCTCCAAGATTGAAACAAACCTGACCCAGTCAAAGTTTGCAGTGCTGAAGAGTAGGCATCTCCCTCGATCAAAAAATTATATATATGAAGCAGTCTGTTACTATAATTGACAGCAGTTTTTCTTTGTCGAGTCCCCCCCCCATAACAATTTTATTACTGGATGATCCTCCCAGTAGATCAGTTATTCTTTTGCGTTCTGTTATAGGCCAAGCTGACCAGCAAAAGTGGGAGTTACAGGGCTGGGACAAACAATATTACACTGGCAGGGGTGCCAACAGTGGTCAACTTTAAGCTAAACTTCGGGGGAAAATATAATTTAAACACCGCACTGGGTGGGTAAATTACGATTAAAAAACTGTGTGTTGTGTGGAGAGCTGCTAAAAAGTATAAAGCCTTACCCCGCCATCCTCACTATTTGCCCATTCACAAAATGCCTTGTAATTTACTTGAATACAAGGCATTCTGTAACTGGAAGAGTAGAGATGTCACATAATTTTTTTATACCTTGTAGCGGCCCTTCACACAACACTTACTTTAATGATAATTTACACACCCAATGCAGTGTGTAAATTAATTTTTTTGCCAGGAGTTTGGCTTTAAAGTGGAACTAAGCCCTTCAAAACTCATCCCTCCCACCCACCCCCCCTTCCCCCATCAATGCAACATCTCTCCAGCTTCTTCTGGGTTCAAGGCTAGCCAGGATGAAATAACTCCCGCACATGCACATTAAAGTTCATTCATCCCTGCACAGAGTGAGGCAGTTCAGTGTACATTTTTAAGCATCTTGTAAGGAAAAAGGCAAAAAGCCTCTATTACAGAGGAGACACTATGTACATTTTGCATTAAAAAGCCTTCTTGCTCGTAATTTTTTATATTCAGGACTTTAAATTCATGCAGCTTAAACCTTTTATTCCAAAAGAAAACCAATTTGCTGCTGTAACTGCTTAAAAACGTATGGTGGAGTTGGGCTTTAAATTTGTCTTTTAATAAAAGTAAATTTATAAATACATGCCCATCTAGGATTAAACTGTCCACAGAGTGACCACAATGCAGTGTGGTATCACTGTAAAACAAAAGTGTTGTCACCATATTACAGGAAGGGGGGAGAGAAATAACAGATCTACTGGCAGGATCAAGAGGTAAATAACTATGAAACAGAGGGAAAACTGCTGTTAGTGACAGACTGCATCACATAATTTAGCCCTGTGAATATCCAACACCTAGGACCCAAGAGACTCCACAGAGATCAATTCTAGCCATACACATATACTTGAATATAGATACTACTGTTACCTCAGACCCTTGTTAGGCCAGGTTTACTTTACCAATCTGGTATACTATTTTGCTGAAGCAGTGCTTTCATATAGTTAATAAAACCCATGAGTACAATGGCTACTCATTGCAGTTCAGGAATGTCCTTTTATGTGAAGACTTCATTATTCACCAGGAAAGAACAATGCACCTTTTCACAGGGATTTATAACCCTGGCTACTTAAGAGCATGCTGTTTGGGTCTTTTTGCCTGGATTGAGGTCACTGGCAAACTAACATTTGTTGAGGTTTAATTTAGCTAAATGCTTCTCTCTCGATTCTATAATCCTTCATTTTGTCAGATGAACAGTTATTACATTTATCCCCAATAGCGCAAAGGAGATTCTTCTATTGAGATTATCTAACTTTCTCTCACACAAGGCCACAAGGGCCAGGAAATCTCCCTGACAAGATTTATTAAAAAGAAACAGTCTATTATTCCTAATTAAATTAAATCATTCAGCCTACAAACAGAATGTGTCTTCGAGATGTGCAAATCATATTTAGAAGTCAAATTGTTTCCTATATGCTTTACCAAAAATAAAAGTTCCCACATGGGCTGATCACGCATAGTCTTTCAATAACCAACCTATGGATAGGGCATAAAAATGCCAGCCAAAGCTGCAATATCACCTAAGACATCAACCAGATGGATTAGTAGGTCCACTGCAGAACTTAAAGCGCAAGTTCACTTTCTCACAAAATGAGAAAATTAGGCTTAATAAGCGCTTCTTAATTACGGAATCTGGTCCCTGGCTCAGAAGTGTTTCTCATTGGCCTGTGTGGTCATGTGAACATGCTGACCAATATGCGCTAGCTATTAGCGAGCAGTATGCTCATTACATACTGCGGGGATGTGTATTACAGTGTACAGCCCATACACCTGGTGGGGGGGG